TTCAGTTGAAGAAACTAAGCAGCAAAGGCAAATTGCCCCAGACCACACCCAACGGGGTTGGAAGAGGAACCCCCGTTCCTAAGCTCTCTACAGACCTGCCTGTCTTCGAATGCCCTCCACCTGGGTCTCGGCAGCATTTCCCAGGAGCCCTTTCTGTGCCCAGGTCTGTGCAGTCAAACAAGAGAGCAGAACTTAACATGAAAAAATCAAGTCTACAGCGATTTTATGATCATCTGAGTTGCTGCAAGGCATCTACATGTGTGATGAATAAAATGAAGGGTCTTTTTTCCAAATTCTAAATGTGGGCAGCTTGTGACAAAGGCTTCAGCACTGAGCCAACACAATTTACAAGCAAGTCAAGTTCGTGAGCTTTCCACTAAGCTCCTAGCGAAGGCCATCGCTGCTCAGCCAGGCCAGTGACCTTGGGCCTGAAGACCCCAGAAGGCCTTTGTGGAGAGCTGAGAAGGGGGGGCTTTGAACAAGGGCAGGGGCAGGAGCAAAGTGGAGAGGAAACCCATCATCTTCCAAACCAGGCGGCCCCAAATATATAGCCACCTCCTTGTGCAGGAGAACACCTGGGGCACCGCAGTACCAGGGTCTCAGGCTGGCACACAGCTCTCTGATCTCGCCATCTCGGACCAACAGGGAAGAAAGCAGTCAGGCAGGAGACAGAGCCTAGTAACTGCAGAACCTGGGTGGCTCACCCACAGCCCGTTGCTGGTGCTCCAGCCGCCAGTGCCCCTGGTTGCTGGCCCGGTCAGGTGTCTGTTGAGTCCTAAAGAGACACCTGAGCCTGACAGAGAAGTCAGAGTTGGGTTAATGCTTCCGTCCTCAGGACACAACTGTCACCTTTTCAAGCGCAAACAGACTCGAGGAGAAGAGGAAAGTGCGTCTGTGGTGACTCACGCGGCAGACACGGCATGAACCGCACTGCACGCTGCGGTGTGTGCGAGAGACGAGGAGGGCAACTGGCCAGTATAATGGGCTTCCCGGCAGAGGGCTCGAGAACCTACTTGACAAGTGGAATTTCCACCCTGTCCTGGGAGCAAGGCGCAAGGAGGCCGGCCACGATTAGCTCACCTTGTTTGAACAATCCCGAAGTTTCCCCAGCTCAGAAATCACAGCTGGGCCAGTCCCCAGCTGGGTGAGTGGGGGCCAGAGGGTGTTTGCGGTGGGCGGAGGCCCTGTCCTTTCTCCGGTGGAGAAAGCCATTTATGACCTCACAGGATGAAAGGAACCAACCCAGGCCCGCTGAGCTGTTATTATAACAATTATCAGGACCTATCACCTCCCTCTGGGAAATGTTCCCTTTCAAGTTGCGGTGCCCTCGTGTACGCTGGCTCACAGCCGCTTACAATCATTACCGGTGCCCAGGGCAACTTATTAATAATGCTTTCTTCCTTCTTTCTGACGTGGATGGACGTGATCTGTTTAAAGGGCCAGGGCTTTGCCAGGGGCTCATTAGAGCCACTGCAAGCTGCTGGGGAGCCAGCGTGTGTGCTCTCATTGTTACGTCCCAGGATAGTCTCCCCCCAACCCCACTCGCCCAGGTGACTAAGCATGCCAGTGTCTCCTCTCAGGAAGTGAACGTGGCTTTGATACTGCTCAGGCTGCTGCTCACGAGCATTGGGAAGAGGAAGGAGAAGAACCCAGGTTTGTTTTCCCAACTCTCCCCCCCGCCCACACTGGGTGCCTCACCCCTACCACACCCCAGTGCAGAAGCCTCCAGATTTGGGGTTGGGGCTCCAGGGCACGCACGGGCCCTAGTCCCTTCTAGAAGTTGACTCAAGACCAAGGTCTCCTATCAGGGTCTCTTTTTTCTGGATCCAGGCTCTTGGGAGAAGGAGGCCTTCACCCCACCACCCAGCACCCCCGTAACTGTCCCCGCTGCCATGGACCAGCAACAGAAAAACAGTGACGCTGGCTTCTGGAGGTAATAATGTCAAACCTGCAGCCTCCTCCCTTCCAACAGGCGAGTGGCGGAGACAAAGCAGGCCCAGCGTTCCCCGTGAGAGGCGCCAGAGGACGGGCGACCCCTGTGGAATTGCTCAGGAGGCTGTCCGCTTCACTTAGAAGTGTTTTTGAGAGGGGGCACTTGTGAGGAATGCCCTTTGTAAAAGCCAGATTGGATTGCGCTCTCAGGAGTCCGTCGTTAAGCCTCACACAAGCACCCAGATGGGGATGAACATCACTCCCATTTTAAAGATGAGAAAAGCAAGCCCCAGAGAGTCATGTGGTCACGTACGTGGCTAGAAAGTGGGGGGGGGGGGGGGGGGGCCGCACTCTAAGGCAGCAGGCCCCGGCCAGCCGCTTCCTGCGCCTCAGCACTGTGCCTGCCTTCAAGCTCTTCATGTTCAAAGAACACTTTCAAGGACGACGTTCCCATCTCAGCTCCCTTCCCCCCAGGGAAGCTGACTCTGGACTGAGTCTCCCTCATGTCCACAAGCGCTCTGTGCAGCCTGCAGGTTCCCAGTCCCCTGGACGTGAGCTCTGGAGGGCGAGCAGGGCCAGCTTCTTCTCCTGCAGAGGCTGCTTCTGTCTCAGGTATAGCGGTGGAGGCTCCGTGTGGGTCCAGGACGGGGCTAAGGGCCAGAGGAGGAAGGGAGGGAGACAGCAGAGACAGTACTCTGAGGCATGGGGAGGAAGGGGTGGGGAGTGGGGGGCAGTGCGCAGAGCAGGGGTGGGAGGTATTCACAGCCAGGTAGACACCTATGGGAATAGGAAGGCTGGAAGGAGGAGGAGGAGGAAGAGAGGGAAGGAAAGGCAGAGGCAAGGGAAAGGACAGTTGCTTTGGAGGGCCATAGGATCCCAGGAAGGGACAGTGCTCTGCCAGGGGGAGGGGTGGGGCTGGTATTCTGTGCCCTGCAGCTGCCAGGGTTGTCCTTGGGAACAGCACCCACAGCAGGAGTGCCCCTGAGTGTGGCCTGGGCAAAGCAAGTCAGACGGGGGTGATGAGACAAGAGGTGGGGAGATAGCCCTCACAGGAAGCCAGGGCACAGGAGAAGGAAGCAAGGGCGCAGAAGGGACCAGTAGGGCAGGCCCGACAGGCCGGGGGAAGACTCCCTCTCTGGCTGGCCCACTGGCTCCTATGGCCCCTTGCGCCACCTTCATGAACCCTGCCTCCAGGCTCAGGCTTCCCCGTGGCCAGCCTGGAGGCGCTGGCAGACACAGCTCACCCTGCCTTCACAGCCCATGAGGAAGGGAGGGGGCTTCCAGTTCCAAGAAACCCGAGGGCAAAGCCCTCTGTGGCAGTGCCTCCTCTAGTCCCAGCAGCCTCACTTCCCATCTCAGATTCTTTTACCCATTCTACAGATGAGGAGACCGAGGTTCCAAGAGGCACATCTTCCTGCCTGTCAGTGGCCAGGTGCTTAGAACAGGGCCTGGGCAGAAAACCAGGACCCAGTCAATGTCACGTCTCTGTCTTCCTTGGAGCCCTCCGAGGGTGTGCTGTCTCTACATTTCCCCGGCTCTGGCCCTGGCCGGGCCATAGCTCTTGCTCCAGGGGGATTGGCACCCAGGAAAACCCATCTGGGCACCAGCCAGAGAGGTAGAAGGACAGATGGTAGACTCCTGTTACCCTACACATATTCTGCCTGTGGGGTCTCAGGCTTCAGGGATGCCAGGTGATATAGGCCATAGGGGAGAAAGGAGAGTAGACACTTTTTTGCACTGGCCCCAAAAGGCACATATCACAAGATTCTTTGGGACTTGGGTTCCTCCTGGGGCCAGGCCAGGACCTAGAAAATCACAGGGGAAAATCACGAAGCAGTGGAGAAAAGCTGGGGTCCTGGAGACCCACCCTCATCAAGGAACAAGGTGGTCCAGTCCCTTCCTCCCTGAGGGAGACAGGTAAAGGTGGCACATGGACCCAGCAAGCCAGGAGTAGGGAGAGCCTGGCTCAGGGCCCTGTTTATCTGTCTCGTGGGAAGGAAGGCGTGATGTGTTGGAAAGGGCATGGGCTGAGGGTGCAGACCCTCCTCCTGGCCATGTGAACTTGGGTAAGTTACCTAACTTCTCCAAGTCTCCGTATCATGCTCTGTAAAATGGAGATGCTGATACGTTCTTGGAGGGGTTAAAGAGGGAACCACAGTGCCAGCACCTGGCAGCTGCGAGTACTTGAGAAAGTCTGGTTCCTTCCCTTCCCTGAAGGGGGACCCTGGGAGCCTCCCTTTTCCCAGTTAATGGTGGGCGTGTCAATCAATGATGCCCTGGAGAGCATGTATTGAGGGCTGTCCCACATGAAAATGCATAGTTAGGCAACCAGGCACCCAGGCTTAGGCGGGCTGTAAGGCTGGCCTCAGCCATGGACAGAAAGCCCGTAGTGCTGTCCAGGCATAAGGACCGGGACCATCCAGGACATCAGAAGCAGCAAAGTGTGGGCTGCAGGCAAAGGACAATGAGGCCTGTCTTGTTTCCCACTGCCCCACAGCGCCTAACAAAGCGCCAGGGCTAAGGAGGTCAGCCCAGAGAGAGCCCCGAGCTGGGTGGATGAGGCTGAGTTTGAGCACAGGCCTCCCTTGAAAAGCACATTGTGAAATGCCAACATAATTATGAAAATGCAAACACAAGAACGTTTGCTTATGGTAACTAATAGTTTTTAATGAAGGTAATCAGCCTCGTTAAATCAAATTATTAGCTTTGACAATAGATGTGTAAACAGGAAATTAATGAATTTGTTGGTTGCTCCTGCCTGCTAAGAAGACATTACAGTAGTCACCGTCTAGCCTGGATACACACATCTGGACTCCTCTCTCCTGCTTGAGCAATGCTCCCTGTACACACACACACACACACACACACACACACACACACACGAAAATGTCTCTCTCCCATCAGCTCAGAGCATCCTGAGAGGCCTCGTTCTTCTCCCTCTTTTATTTCTTAGGCCTTTGTTAGTCTCCTGCTCCAGTGTACCTGGTTGCTGCCCAGGAGACAGTCCTTGGGGAATATAGGATTGAGGGGAGAGATGCAGGAAGAGGAAGAAGACATCGGGCTCTGTGTCCCAGCACACTGGCATACATGATCTCATTTAATGTCACAGGACTCTTCATACTATTATCCCATTTTACAGGTTAGGAAACAGGCATGGTGAAATGGTGGGTTGGTGGTGATGGTTCACATAGCTGGTGGTAGACAATAAGCCAGGCTGGGCAACAGGTTCTGTTGATGACATTGTCCCTCATCTTCTCTTACCATAGGAGGGACTTGGGGCCAGGAAGAGGCCATCTCCAGCTGGAAGGAGCAGAGAGAAAATCTCAAATGAGCAGGTGGGAACTCATTGATACAGGAGAGGGTATTGAGAGGCCATTCCAGAATAGGGGAGCCCAGACCCCAGGGCTCACTGCTGGGGTTCTCTGTGAGCCAGATGATGGAAATGGGGCCTCCCAGCTGGAGACACCCTGGCAGTAATGATAACCCCAAAGCTTCTACTTAGGAACATGTCAGAGGAGAAATCGTGGGACTAGTTCAAGTGGAGGTACAGAGAGGGCCCCTTCAAACACACACACACACACACACACACACACACACACACACACCAGTGTCAGCCAGGCAGGAGTTTTGCACAGCGCTGGGGGTAGGGGTGCTGGACCTATGGTTCTATGAATAATGCCGTGAGCTCAGGCAGGCACTGAGCTGGGGGCCAAGTGGGGGCTGAGGCAAACAACAGGCAGACACTCCCAAGAGACAGCTCACCCAAAGCACCGTGTGAGATACCATCAGGCAGTTACACCGCAAACAAGCCGCTCGTTGGGGCAACAGTGGAAGACGCTGCCATCTCTCACCTGAGGCTGGCAGATGGGAACATTAGTCAGACAGATGGAGGGAGGGCGAGTGCTGAAACCACCTGAGGCCCTGGCCAGGTTCTCCCTGTAAACAGCACAGTCTGCCAGACCGGCTTGTTCCTTCTCTGGAGCTGGGGAGAGAAATAGGCTGAGGCCCCAGGCCCTGCCTTAGGCAGATGGAGCAGACATAACCCCTGCCGTCTGACCCTAGGCGAGTGGCAAAGACAACCCCCACCATGCAGCAGCCTTATGAAACCTGGTCTTATTTGGGGATCCACATTTCCCACACTCTCACTCTTAGAGCCTGCAATTAATTAGAAGCAAAATATTCTCCATTAGGATGCCCCAGATTAACAGCCATTGCTAAGAGACCAAAAGCCAAGAGTTGAGCTTGAGGTGGGGGATGATAGAAGAGAAGGGTATACAGGGGTTTCTAGCCCGCTGTCCACTGCCCCAAGGAAAGGAGAGTGGAGGTACTGCATCCATGGTCTTGCCGCTCCAGTGGATGGAGGTGACCTGGGCTCTCTGTGTCCACATCTCCTCAATGGAGTCTTCATGAGGAAGAGAGTCTGTCTCCAGAGAACTAGGCTGTGACCTCAGGGTGCCTAGCCAGGTGTGGTAGAGTGATTTGGTAACTCCAGAATCCTTTCCCAGAAGGAACAGGTCTCTTCTCAAGTTGCACCTTGTGATTTAGAACCAGGAAACTGAAGAGAGCCTACCATTGGACCCAGGCCTAGAACAGGGGTTGCCATTAGGGCAGAAGAGTCAGACCCAAGGAAAGAAGGAGGAGGCTTCATTTCTAGCCCCTGGCCCCAGCCATAGACAGTCCCACCCTTTCCAGAACTCTCTTCACATACTGTACATTCCTCTAGTTGCACAGCATGTAGTCATTAAACATGCGCCTCCTCGCACTAGACAATGAGCCGCTTAAATGCAGGGACAGTGTGCCTGACTCAGAATGGGTGCCCAGCATTTGCTGTGGTGATGGATACATGACTAGACAAATAAGCGTGTGGATGGATGGGATGGTGGTGGTGGTAGTGGTGGTGGTGTGGATAGATGGATGGATGGACAGTTGGATGGTTGACATATGAATGGTTAGATGAAGACTGCTCCCACATCCACCAGCACCTCTAGTGGCCATTGTATGTGTGCCTTGTTCTTGGTTGGAACTGCACCCGCCCTTCATTCTAGTTCCATGCAACTGATTTAAATCTCCACACATGTGTCCTCACTCTACAAATTTCCCTTCTCAGAAGTGAGTTAGAGGCCAAGGCCTTTTCTCCCCACCCTTCTAGAGAACTTCCACAGCCCTGTTGGCACATGGGTGAGGAAGGAGAAGGGGCAGGGTCAGAACTGGTTGAAAAATGGGAAGGCTTCTGAGGAAAAGTGAGGCAGAGCCCCACGTGTCCCCACTCAATCCCCACCTGGTCCCCAGACAGGAAGCGAAGGAAGGTAACCCAAGGGAGGGGTGCTTCTGGTACTTCCACCCCGAACACCTCCAACCATGAGGCGGAACATGAACTAGAGCCCTCTTTACCTTGTAACTAACCCACTTACATAGCATTCACCATGTGCCTGGCACCAGTCCAAGTGCTTTACATATATTAACTCATTTAAACTCCTGTGAGTTAAGAATTCTTTTTATCTTTATTTTAGAAATGAGGAAACGAAGACACAAAGAGATTGCATAACTTGTTCAAGGTCAATAGCTAATAAGTGGTAGAGCCACAAGTTGGGCTCAGAAATCCTGAGCCTGAGTCTTTGCTCTTAACCACTAGGTCATCCTGCCAAACGCAGCTCTGCCCAGAATTCAAACTCCATCCCAACCTTAATGTCACCCTCTTCAGTATAACCCTAACTCCATCCCCAACTCTTTGTATCTTGACCCCACCAGTAATAGAATCCTATACAGAGAAATTCCATTGCCCCAAAATATAAGGGATAAAGAAACAAAGTAGCCCTAACTGGTTTGGCTCAGTAGATAGAGCGTCGGCCTGCAGACATAGGGTCCCAGGTTCGATTCCGGTCAAGGGCATGTACCTTGGTTGCGGGCACATCCCCAGTGGGAGGTGTGCAGGAGGCAGCTGATCGATGTTTCTCTCTCATCGATGTTTCTAGCTCTCTGTTTCTCTCCTTTCCTCTCTATAAAAAAATCAATAAAATATATATTTAAAGAAAAAAAAAGAAAGAAAGTAAATGATAACAGAAGGGGACAAAGAGACGAAATCCAGAATGTGGGACATTTCATGGGCAACTAACCTGGTTTCTGCAACAAATCAATGGCATGAAAATAATTAAAAGGAAAAGGAGAGATGCTTTAGATTCAGAAACTTAAGAATTATAACAAAAAAATGTGAACTGTGGCTCTTGTTTGGATCCTATCCAGTTTGAATAACCATAAAAAGATATTTTTGTGACAGTTGAGGTAGTTTGATAATGGGCTGAGTGTTAGATGACACCAAGGAATTAGTGTTAATTTCCTTAAGTATGATAATGGCACTGTGGTCCTATAAGAAAATGTTCATTATATTGAAGTGCAGTCAATTTTTTTGAAAGTTACGTTATATAAAGTCACCAAAACACTGAATTATCTGAACCACTGTTCCCAGGGGAAATACCAGGTTAGGTTCCTATGAGCTACTGGTCTCATTTTCATCAATTGACCAATACATAACCTTGTTTTTATGTGTTACTGTTTAAAGACACCTTCAGCAACGAAACACACACATATGTGGCACTAAGTAGACCTTGTAAAGGACGCTTGTTATGGTATGAGAGCTGAAACAAAAAGGCAGAGCCAAGAGAGCAGATCTTAGATGTTCTGCCCACAAAAATAAATGATAACTATGTGACATGATAAAGTTGTTAGCTAACATCACAGTGGTAATCATTTTGCAATATATAAATGTATCACCGACACCTGGTACACCTTACACTTACACAATGGTATATGTCAATTATACCTCAATAAAGCTGGGACAAAACAAAAAGGCAGAACGTTGGCTTGCTTGACCTCAGCTGAGAACCTGCATATCGGGTGACTCAAATTTTTCACCGCTCTGTGCGTGTCCATGAATGTCCACAAAAACTCCACAAGTGTTGATTTTGGCATTATTGATATATTTCAGCAGCAGGAGAATTGGCAAACACAAAATCTGTGAATAATGAGGATCGATGTTTTAAGAATGAAATGGTATAATGTCTAAGATTTTCTTCACATTATTTGGGGGGTCAGCAGCGGGAAGGATGAGGAAAGGATAGCTGAAGCAAATGTGGGGAAATATTGGTAACTATTGGCTGGAAGATGGGGTTTGGGATATGGGGTTTATTCGTCCAGGTGCTCCAAGAAACAGACACCATGATGGGATTGAAGGTGTCATTGTATTAGAGGACATGGCTATCACAAAGGAATTAGGGAAGGAGCCAGAAAGGCTGGGAGAGTGTCATTCTAAATGCAAGTAAAGGAGGGAAGAAGGTAGGGTATGGGCAGTGCATCTGAGACTGCAGTGCTGTCTTGGAGTCTGAGGACAGTGTGCCCATGTATGGTGGTCCCTCAGGGAAAGTCACCAGCCAGGCTTGCCTTAGCATCGCTGCCAGGCTTGCAGGGGCCTACCGTGGGAGGTACCGCCTCAGCACCACCAGAGCTCAGCAGCTGGGCCCCAGGTCCCTCAGGTTCCCAGAAGTAGGAGGGCTGCGAAGCATGCTCTCGTGGCCACCACATTAACAGTCTATTAAACCGTTCTCTCTACTCTTGTGTGTGTTTGAATTTTTTCTCAATGAATATCAAAAGAAAAGTAAGAATGAAGTGAGTGGAAAGTTCCAGGGAGGAAGAAAGTACAACCGAGTTCCCTTATGCAGTAGTGTTTGGAGTAAACCCAGCAAGCGACCCTCTTCATTGTAACACTGCCTGTTTGTATCATAGTGATGTACGCTTTCCAAACCACCTCCATTCCTCCCCATTTAACCCTCACACCTACTTCGAGAGACGGCAAAGGCAGGTACTTGGGTGTCATTATACCCACTGGACAGGTGAGTAAATCCCTCTGAGTATCCAAACCTCGCTTCGGTTAAGACAGTTGCCCAGAGTCACCCAGCTGAGTGGGAGCTGTAGGAGAGGGAAGGTCCAGTGACCTCCCCCGGCCCTTCCGTGGCCCACCCTCCAGGCGTTAAGACGCAGGCTAGGAGCTGAGTTCCCCTGTGCCCACATGGAGCTGCTCACACTGCTGCACCCCGTCTCCCTGAACACCCAACTAAGCATCTTATAAATGCTTAATTTATAGGGATGATGCATAGGATTCAAAGGTCAGCCTAGGGAGAGGATTAAAGCTCTGTCGGAAGCCAAGGTCAGGGGTTAGCTCAAGGCTAGAACAGGGTCACTCTGAGGTCAGCTTTAAGGGACTGGCCTGTGATTAGAGGTTACACTACCTCAGCATAGTGCTGGCTGCTGTCGGGTCACCCCCTGCCCGGCCTGGCCCACAGCCTTCTAACTCTAGGCCTGTGGATAGGAGGGCTGACCGCACCCACAGCAGAGATGCTCCGCGTTTGTCTCTCAGGCCCATTTGCATATGGCACACCTCAGGCTCACCCGGGACAGTTTCTCAGAACATGTCGCAAGCCACCTGCCTGCGTCTAAGCCCATTGACAGCAAGAACAGCTTTGGGACAAGCTCTGTCCCTTCCCCCGCCCATTGCCACAGACTTAATTACAGAGCCCAGCCACAGCCAGTGGCCACCTCCCGCCCCCACGTGGGCACAGGAGGTGTCAGGTTTGTACTCCACTAGGAAGGTATCGGGGAGAGAGAGATCAAGGAGCCTTTCCCAATAACATGATCAGCATCAGTAGAAACTGTGACCACGGAGGTGATGTTTTCTCAGGCTGCCTCCATCTCTGTGTTCCCTCCCGCGTCTCGGCCATATTGTCCCCATCCGCCACACCGCCCCTCCCTTCATTTACCCTGAAGGGAAGGTCCACATGCCCTGCTGCCCTGGGAATGGAGCCTGAGGAGGCAGGGCTTAAATCCAGGAGAGGACAATCTGCTGGTGGGCTTGCTGGTCCTGGGCCAGCAAATGTGGAGACAGTTATTGGCCACAGGGCCTCCCTGGTGTCCAGTAGAGGCAAGGCCCCACCAAACTATGGCAGGAGCAATGTCCTTTTCTTCTTTGGTGGTTTGGCTCCTAGCCAAGTCTCCTGAGTGCCCCACTGCCCCACCCCCACAACCCCCGGAGCTGAGAGACGGCAGGTGCTTAGGGCAGTGCTGACTGGGTGGGCAGGATTGTGCTTCCTGTGCCAGCTCATACCCATGCCCACCACCCACACTGCCTAGGGGGGCCCTCTCCCTCTCCTCACACCTCCTCAGCCTGGGAGTCTACCTCAGAAGCCCAGCACGTCCATCCTGCCTCTCTGCCCCACACCGCCCGGGCCCTGAGGTGGCCTCATCTCTCTGAACCTTGGCGGTAGCTTCCTACCTCTTCCCCATGGGTGCACAGCTCCTCAGGGGCGTTATTCCTCAGGCAGCTCTGCCCTGAAACAATAGGTCTACACAGGGGGTGGGCAGACCATAGGTGTGGTCACGGGCCAAATCCAGGCCCCCAACTGTGCTCCTGAGGCCCCTCAGCTGAGTGCTGTTGTTTTTTTCAGTTTTTGTTGTTGTTGTTGTTAATCCTCCTCACCAGGGAATATTTTTTCCATTGATTTTTAGAGAGAGTGGAAAGGAGGAGTGGGAGAGAAGGAGAGAGAGGGAGAGAAACATTGATGTGAGACACATCAATTAGTTGCCTCCTGCACATGCCCCAACTGTGGCTAGGGATTGAACCTGCAACCCAGGTAGCTGCCCTTCACTGGGAATCGAACCTGAGACCCTTCAGTATGAGAGCCGGCACTCTAACCACTGAGCACACTAGCTATGGGTTGAGAGTGTTTTTTATAGATGAACATTCACAATCCGATGATAGAGACCACTAACTTTAAACCCCTATTAAGCAAAATGTTATATCCCCCGGAAAAATTTACATTGTTCACATTAGTAGACTCATTTTATTCTACACACACACACACACACACACACACACACACACACTAGGGACCCAGTGCACGAATTCGAGCATCTTGAAAGGAACTTGGGCAACAAGGTTGAGGTGGGCACAGGGGCGGGTCTCAGCCCATCCTCTGGGCCCCTGCCCACCCCTCCCACAGCAGCCCCCGGTTCCCTGTCTGCCAGCAACCCTGCTCGCACCCGCTAACAGTGTGGAGCAATTGGGGCCAGTGCCAGCAGCAGGTGCAAGCACAACTGCTGCCCCGATTGCCCCTCAGGAGCAGCATGAGGTGGAGAAGCCTTCAGGGGTGATCAGAGCCGGCAGCTGCCACTCATACCTGCTGATGGGCGTCAGCAACAGATGCAAGTGGCGGCTCCTGCGCTGGCTGCAGGTGTGAGTGGGGCTGGCTCTAGCAGTGGGTGCAAGAGGTGGCTGCCAGCCCTGATTGCCCCTCAGGAGCAGGGGGAGGTGGAAAAGTCCTGAGGGACAATCGGGGCTGGAAGCTGTCACTTGCACCTGCTGATGATGCCAAGCAATTGGGGCCAGCGCCGGGTGCCAGCAGCGGGTGCAAGTGCCTAGTGGGACCACAGCACGTGGGAGCAAAGAATTGTCAGTAACCACCAGAGTCTCGCCCTGATGACAGCAACCGGTGCCCTGCCTTGGTCTGGTGCCCCCACTCACCTGCACCACCATCCCACCTACTGCCAACACCCACCATGTTCTGCGCGGGCCCCTGGTGGTCAGCACACTTCATAGTGATCAGTTGTTCAGTTGTTCCGCCGTTTGGTCTATTTGCATATTAGGGTCTATTTTATGGATCTATAATTGTTATTATATTTTCAATTTCATCAATAGAAATTTGTGGAAATTTTTCTCTCTAGTTATATTAAGTACCTATGAAACTCGATTTTTCCTCTTGGCCTGCAAAGTCTGAAATATTTACTACTTAGCCCTTTGCATGAAAAATTTCCCAATTGCTGATCTAAATCCTTCCTTTGAACATTCAAGTGCCTTAGCCATAAGCACCCCTTCTGCCCACCAACCCAATCCAACTTCTTGAGTTCAAATCCTGGCCCTTCCAGGTACTGCCTTGGGTAAGTTATTTATACTCTTTGGGCTTCAGTTTCCTCATCTGTAAAATGGGGAATGTATTCAGGAAGTTAGTATGAGGGTTGAATCAGTCAATAGTTATAAAGCACTAACCCAGTGCCTGGCACATAATGAGTCTATGCGCATGTTTGATGAATAAATAAAGCCTCTCCTAGCCCCCTACAACCTTGAGCAGCAAAAAGTCCCATCTCCTCCTTGCAGCGTAGCTCTCCTTTCACTGAACCCTAAGTGCATATCACATCTCTGACTCACAGTCCGATCAGTGATAACACAGGCACTATACTCCATGGGTTCTGTTCCTTGTAAGCCCCTTGAAACAGGGATAATGTATTTCTTCTTTGTTTCCCAGGCGAAGAAAAGTAATATTTAACATTTAGAATAGAAAAGAGCATTCTCTCTTTTAAAAAAAAAATATGTTTTTATTGATTTCAGAGAGGAAGGGGGAGGGAGAGAGAGAGAGAAACATCAATGATGAGAATCATTGATTGGCTGCCTCCTGCATGCCCCCTACTGGGGATTGAGCTGGCAACCTGAGCATGTGCCCTTAATTGGAATCAAATTCTGTACCCTAAAGTCTGCAGGCCCACTCTGTCCACTGGACCAAACTGGCTAGGGTGAGCATTCTTAACTTAAACTAAATGGGGGAAAAGGTGAATGTAGCAGTTCTGAAAAAAACATTTTCAATCTGACGGTTTAGCATATATATTTTCTCTATATCAAAAACTGAAATGAGCAAAATATAAAATCAATACACTGGATAGTGCCAAATAGGAATCATGGAAATAATATTTAAAACAAATGTGGTCAGTAAAGAGAAAGTTAATGTCCTTAATATATAAAGAGTTCTTACAAATCAATATGTTTAAAAAGCTAGGACCAAAATAGATAAATGGTAAAAGTACTTAAATAGAAAAAATAGTGGAAATATAAATGGCTAACAAACATGTAAAAATACTTGCAATCATTAATGATCCACAAATGCAAACTAAAAGAATGACCAAAAAAAATGCACATGAAATTAATAGTTTTAAGTTAAGAGTATTTAGGCTTGGCAAGGGAACCTCTGGTGGGCATGTAAATTAATCAGCAGTAAATTTGGCAATATGTATCAAAGGCCTTTAAAAAAGTCTTAGCCTTTTATATGTCAATTTTATCTCAATATAAATGGGGGGAAAGTCTTACCTTTTGACAGTATTGTGACTTCTGGGAATTCAGCCCAAGGAAATCATCTGCTAGGTAGATAAAGATTTATGCAGTCTTGTGAAAAACTGAAAACAACTTATATGCTCAATAATAAGGGATTGGTTTAATAAATTATGGTCCACCCATATGACAGTAGATTATGCAATGATTTTAAATGATGTTAATAAAAAGTATTTCATGACATGAGATAAAAATTGTATAAACAGCTCAACTGCAAGTATGTTTTCTAAGTGCACAGAAAAGAGACTGGAAGGGACTCTGTATGACTGCCCACCATCCGGCAGGACTGGGGAGCTGAGCCAGCACGGGGAAATTGCTTCTGTCTGAAGCACATGTGTCTACCTTTGCATGGAAGTCTCTGCACATTGGCAGGAGCCTGATTATGTCTGTGGTCCTGCAAGAAAATGTCTTCATTTGTAGACATGAGTGGGGAAGCACATGCCGGTGTCTGAGAATGTGTACTTATGTTTTATGTACAAACTAATTAGCAAATGATATGGACATTCCTGAGCCTGTGCACCCTGACCATAAGGGGCCAGTGGCCATGGCCCCATTAAAATGTATCCAGAGCACTCAGCCCCAAGCTGGCCCAGACCAAAGACACGGTTATACCCACCCCTGACCCCAAATTGAATTCTGACCTCAGGTACCTGTCCTTTTCCCTCCTCTAAGGGCCCACTCTCTTCCAATGAGGTCACTCTGTGCAACCCTCTGCCTCCAAACTTGACACTCAACTAGGCATACATTTGTTGGGAGCTTAGACCTCAGGGGACCATGACTGGGGCTAGTCCAGGCCCGCCAGGTCTGCTTAGAGATGATTCTAGAGACCCCAAGGGCTGGGAGGAAGCTGCCATTGCTTTCCAAGGCCCTAAAAGGCCACAATCTACATTGCCCAGGACTGGCCTTCAACTCACCCTGACCCAGTCTGAGCACTGCCCACGTGCGGCGCACCCACCTGCCTCCAGGTTGAGAGGAGCCTAGGTACCCTCCACAGACCCAGATACTTGGTGGCAGCCCTCTGGCCCCGTGTCTCCCAGGCTTTTTCTGTTCTCATTCCCAGGAAGGGGCCGTGTGATGAAGTGATTTTCCACTGAGGAGTGTCTGTGTGATTGCCATCTCCCCAGAGCAAGGCCAGCTCCGCCCGCTGGCCCGGTTGGTGACGAGTGGGCCCCACCTGCTGCCCCCACCCCAGGAGCAGGTGGGAGCAGGCCGCCGGGGGTGTGCCAGGATCCTCTCTGAGCACCCAGCCCAGATCATGGGGTGTGGAACTCCCCAGACACCCCAGCACCTTCCCCTGAGCCTGGGCCCCACCACCTGACCCCAAATCGAACTCTGACCTGGGACAGCTGGCCTTCTTTTCCCTCCTCTAAGGGCCCACCCTCCTCCGATGAGGTCATCCTATCCAGCCCTCCAAACTTGACACTCAACTAGGCACACATCTGTTAAACTCTTACTCCGTCTCCGGGAGCTCCCTCAGAGCCAGGCCCCGCCAGACTGGGTATGAGGCCCTGGCAACCCTCCTGCACAATTTAGCAGTGAATGAGGAAATGCCCACTAGCGCCCACCGGAGGGTGGGCAGATTCTCAAGAGGCTCAGGGAGACAAGGGGAGGGGACACGGGCTCTTCCGGGGAGAACTCTCACATTCCAGCAGAAGCCACAGTTGAACTCTGCCTGCCAGGTGCATGCATGCCGGGTGCATGTGAGGTGCTGGGCACCGGCACCATCGGTGCTGCCTTGGAACTTATAGCCTAGGTCGGAAAAACAAAGAAGAGTAAAATTAAAACTGACTGGGGACTTTAGACCACAGGTTCCGGTGCCACCAGAGCCTGCACAGCACTGCGTGCCTCACATGGGAACTGCCTGCCCCTGTCATATGCCGCAGGCCTGAGCTTGCTCCTGAAGTCAGCTATAAGCCTCAAGCCAGAGCTCTCCCAGTGCTGCGTGGTTCTCCCGGTGACAGGATGCTCACAGTGCCCCCTTTTGCCTCATGAAGACCTCCACCCATCCCCAGGGTGAGAGGTGAAGTGCATGTTACAATAAACCAGCACTCAGCGGAGCAGCCAGTGTGGGACAGGACCACTGCCGAGAGCAGGAAAGGTTTCTGGAGAAAGTCATGTCTGAGCAACAGCTGAAGGCGTCCCAAGGTATTACGCTGAGCAAGAAGCGCCCCAGGTAGAGGGAACAGCTAGTGGCAAGGCGGGGTGGATGGGCACATGGCACGAGCCAGGAATTAAAGGAAGCCACAGTGGTTACGGAGGGACCAGTGGGAGGTGAGATTGCTGGGCCTGGAAAGGCAGCGTGGCCAGGCCCTTAGGGGCCGAGGCCTGCCTCCTGTTCTTGGGATAAGCGTACTCAGAAGCCACTGAAGGATTTTTAAGGAGGGGATGACGTGAGGAACTTTGCATCTTGCCTGGCTTCCCTGTGGAGCACCAATGGGAGACCAACACAGAGGATCAGGGGGCTCTGGCAGCAGGCCAGGCTGAGGCCCTGACTCATAGGGGCAGGCAGACGTGGGCAGAGGGGGAGCCATGAGTAGCAGCCACTGGGGAGAGCATGGGGAGGCAGGACAGAGGTGTAAACAAGATACCAGTACTGAGGACCCTCACTGTTCAAACTCATGTTGTTTAAGGGTCAACTGTATTTCTTATCCAGAGTTAAGAATCTGTAGATGCAAAGGGCCAACTGTAGTTATTTGTGGATTTTTTACTAGAACATGGGGGGTGGTGGGGGGAGGGTGTCAGTGCTCCTAATTCCCATGCTGCTCAAGGGTCAATTATTCACAAAGTACCTATGACTCTGTCACCAATAGAAACCAGGTATTTTCATATCACATTACAATTGCAAAGATACCTTGAAATATCAAAATGCTCGTCACTACACTGGAATTGCAATGATCATTAGACCTGCTGCGGGACCTTGTTATTGAAATCACTAATAAGAAGCATGTCTATTATCATATCACAAATCTGGAGCTGTGTCTTTCCAATTTCCCACAGGCAGTGGCTGTGCTGCCAGCCGTTCTCATCAGGGGGAACACAAGGAAGCTAATAATTCAGTGTCCCAATGAGCTATTAAAAACTATTTGTGTTCAGCCTTTATTTAGTAAAAATGGAGAAATAAATTTTCAAGTAATATAAATTACATGCTTTCTTCTTTATGTTTAAAATAAGGGATCAACTGTTTGTGGTAAATGTAATATATTTTAATTTACTTGGATTTGTCTTTATTTCACAATCTTCCCATTAGTACAACTAGCCACTATTAGTCATGTGCTCTAACGTATATACATACTAGAGGCCCAGTGCACGAAATTCTTGCACTCAGGAGGGTCCCTCAGCCCGTCCTGCACCTCTCGCCGGGAGCCCTTGGGGGATGTCTGACTGACGGCTCCCAAGGGGAGCAGGCCTAAGCCGTCAGTCGGACATCCTTAGCACTGCTGAGGAGGTAGGAAATTCTCCTGCCACTGCCTCTGCATTCACCAACCGTGAGCCTGGCTTCTGGCTGAGTGGTGCTCCCCCTGTGGGGGTGCACTGACCACCAGGGGGCAGCTCCTGCATTGAGCATCTGCCTCCTAGTGGTAAGTGCGCATCATAGCAACTGGTCATTCTGCCATTCAGTCAATTTGCATATTAGCCTTTTATTATATAGGATTATCACTAGGTCTTATTCACAATATATTTGAAGATTATTTTTATTCTGATTTATGCTCATCAACTGCCTACCTTCCTCAAGTTCTTGGTCTTCCTTTTTCTAAACTGGACCTATTTTTGAGGGTCATGTCAAAGACTTTAAGCCTTATCTAATAAAACCAACCCCTTCTCCCCAATAAATAATGCTGTATGCACCATGCATTATTTGGTTGTGGGATTTCGGTTGATTGCAGCTCTGACTGGGTCCATGAGGTGTGGCATGTACCTGCATCATGCAACATGTATATGCTTATTGCAGAAATACAAGGTCAAGATAGGTTGGCAGAGCGTTTTCTTGGTTCTGCTCAGGGACACTGTCTATTCCGGTGGGGGTGAAGCTACTTTGCAGTTGGTGAGTTACAGACGGGGCCACAGGTGGAAATCCGGGTTAGAGGGCACTGTTTTCCAGCTTGATCTTCTGTGCAGACTGACTGCCTGCCCAGACTTCTTTCCCTGAATTAGATTCTTCCTGCTGATGGGAACTGGACTCCAAGACCCCCTTTCACAGTTCCCCTAGATCAGCTCCTACCCCCCCTCTACAAGGAAGCCCAAGAGACACCAGGAGTCTTATTGAAAGAGGGCTATTGACTTGACCTTTGGGGCGTTGGTGAAACTTAGGGATGGACCGCTGTGAGGCCTTCAAACACACAACACAAGTGCAAAGTGGCCCAAAGGTGCCTCTGGCACTCAGCCTTCCCTTGGGGTTCTCAGGCCGCACTTCCCTGCTCTGCTCTCCCGTCCCACCCCCAGGTACCCAGAGAGGAAAGTGTTAGATTAAGGCTTCCATGGTGATGGGAACAGTGATACCCCTTCCAAGGAAATTTGCCTATAAGGGGATGTGACTTAGTCCAAAGGGTGAATCTCCATGGCTTGAATTCTAGCCACCATAACATTCCCTTGGGGCTATTTGGAGAGAACATTTCTGGATACACCTTAAGTAAAATACAGTCCACTTGTCTATGGGGTTGGCCCTCCTTCTGAACTTTGATCCTTCTTGGGAGAGTCTCTGGGCTTCCTGACATCCCACAATTCCTTGCAGTAACGTGGGTATCCTGTGAGCAGCTGCATGCCCTGGTCCCTGGGAGAGAGGGCATGACCCAGGAAGTTTCATGCTTTCCTTCTGAAGTTCAGGCTACACCAGCAAAGGAGGGAGAGCTGGCTGGAGCTGAGAAACCAGCAGAGTTAGCACTAGAAGGCTTCCTGGGGGAAGAGGCACCTCAACCTCTCACCGGTACTACCCAGAACATTCCATAGACTTTAGAAACTTCTGCAATCTGACTCTCCCTTACCTTATACACCACCCCCCCCGCCCCACACACACACACACATCCTCTGGTCTGGCCTCTGAATGCAAGTTCATTCCTTTCCTCTGGCTGCCTTTTGCCCTACTTGCTTCTTTCATGTTCTGATTGTTTCCATGGAACTGTTAGGCACCTACCACCAGAGACTTCTCCCACAGCTGCTGTCCCTCCATTGCTGCAGAGTCACCCATGAGGCTGTTCATCAATATCCCATATCTCCTCCTTCTCCCATCGCCCAAAGGTCAAGGCTAATGGAGATATTTTCCCGAAGTCACAGCTTGCTCTCCTAGAGTGGAGAATTGGGACCAAGCGTTGGAAAGAGCAGCCAGGCTTGGGGACAGTGGAGATGGTATATGGAAGAGCTCCTGGAGCCGGACAAGCTGGTCTGCACTCTGGTTCCCCTCTTTACTATCCGGGCACTTTTGAACCAGCCTTTTCTGTTCTCTGAGTCTTGATGTTCTTCTCATCTGCAAAATAAAACGATTGCAAGGTTATTTGTAAAGGGCACAGTGCTGAGCACCTGAATGGAGATGGTTGATTACTCAGGAATTGATCATCGGATAGACAGATAGACAAGTGAGTAAATTCCAAGCCAGGGCAGATATCTGGGGCAGGTGTGGGTGGCTGCCTGCCTCACCTACGCACAGGACCAACCCTGGGCTCCAATTTCCTTCCTTCCCCCAGGATCCAGGGATTTGCCAAACACGCAACTCTCCTCTGGGAAGAAAGTGACTCAGGACACCTGAGAGTTGGAATGAATCAGGGAGCAAGGATTGAGTGTGGGGCCCCCACCCAGGGGCCTGGGCCTCTCCCAGCAGGAAGAGCGTGTGCTGGTCCCCGTCACTGGGTGAGAGGGCAATCCTACCAAAATACGCCCCTGGCCAGCCAATGGGGCCCAGTAACACTCCCGCATTCCAGACCTGTCAGGGCGCTTCCATGAGTGCTACCATACCGTGCACAAATCTGAGCCCCGCGCCACAGGCCTGGGTTCTAGCTCTGCCGCTTTTCCTCGCTGGCCCAGGCAAGTCACGTGGGCCTCGATTCCCATCTGTCCCAGGGCCTGGTGCACTCAGCCAACCCAGCCCCTTCCTGTCCTGTCTGTCACCAGGAGGCCGAGGACACAAGAGCCCCTTTCCCGGGGAATAGCAGGTACAAGTTCCAGCTCTGCAGGCACACACTGCAAGGCCTTTTCCTCAGCCTCCCCTAAGAGCCCATCCGTCTGACAGAGAGACACCCAGAAACGAGTCTACAGATGGCATCGTGCACCCCAGACATGCAGGTCCAGCCGCCAGCTCAACAGCTCTGCCTGGGATGCAGCATGAGCAGCTCAGACTGAACGTGCCCGAGACTGACCTCTGACCATCCCCCACACGCCGGAGAAGAACCTCCCCACCCTGTGTCTCCGTAAATGGTAACTCATCCTTCCGGTTGTTCAGGCCACACATTTTGACTCCTCTCATTCTCTCCCACCCCACATCTAATCCAGCAGCAAATCCTTTGGCTCCACCTTCAAAATAGATCCAGAACCCCTCTGTTTCTCACCGCACATCTCCTCCCTCACCATCCAGACCCCATGGTCTGCCCTGGACCACTGGGGGACCCCTGCTCTCGGCCCCCTCCCGTCAGCTCTCCCCACTGCAGTCGGAGGTTCCTTTGTAAACATCAAGTCGCTGAAGTGCTGAGAATCTGCAGATTGCCCATTGGTCTCAAAGTACAAGCCCAAGCCCCGATGATGCAGCCACCCTCCTATTCACACAATATGGCCAACTCAGTTCTGGGGTGGGGGAAGGAGAAAGGCTTTATGATGGCCTCCTACCTTCTCCGTCGTCCTTTGCCTTCAGCCTTCCTCTGGCTACACCCGCTGCCCTGCTGGCTTTACACGTGTGTCTTTTTCCCAGGTAGCCACATGGCTCCCTCTCTTGTCTCCTTCAAGTCTTGGTGGAATGAGGCCTTCCAGGGCCATCCCACTTAAATCACAGCTCTCCCCTCTCCAGCATCCCCAGTCCACTCTTTCTCTCTTTCCCCTCTTTCTCTCTTTCTCTTTTTCTTCTCTCTTTTTCTCCATGCCACTTACTACCTTCTAGCCAGCATACTATACAATCTACCTGCCTACTGTGCGCTCTGTTTATTGTCTTTCTTCTCCCTCTGGAATACCAGTTCCAGGAGGGCAGAGCTTTTAGTCTGTTTCACCCACTAATGGATCCTTAACACCTGGCGCACGGTACCCACTCAATAAGCACGTGTGGAATGAATGAAGGCATGAGAGTCCATAGATTGTAATGGTTAAGAGAACATTCGTAATCCACTATTTCCTAACTGTGTGACACAACTTCTTGTGCCTCGGTTTCCCTGTTTGTAAAGTAAGGTAATAATGACACCTGACTCATGGGGCTGTTGTGTGGATTGAACAGGTGTTCCACTCAGTGGGTGGCACCTGGCGTGTGCTCAGTAAATGTTGACTGTGGCATCATGAGAGGCAGGTGTATCAGGGGCCACTGAGCCCTTTTCCAGGTCAGGAGACACTCCCAGAAGGCCCCTATGGCTTGCTCAGCAAGCTCCTCCTGCCCAGAGCCCAAGGAGGGCACCCCCACGCTGGGAGGCTAGCTCTGGTTCATGTGCTTGGCCACTCCAGGATGCTGGGAGGACCTGGGCCAGTGGGAAAGGCAGTGGCCAGAAGGCACTGGACCTCAGGCTAGGAGTGGGTCTCTCTGAGGCTAGGGGACAGCCATTCTTATAACGCATGGATTCCTCTTCTAGGAGCTGGGTGTAGGAGGCCTTTTCAGGCCTTGAGTCTCAACAAACCCACCCAGTTTCTTCCTTGAGCAGCAAGAGCAGTGTGCAACCCAGCCCTGATCAGAAAAATTATTAAAATCCACCCATTAGCCCAGCCGGCATGGCTCAGTAGTTGAGTATCAACTGTGAACCAGGAGGTCACAGTTCAATTCCCGGCCAGGGCACATGAGCAGGTTTCAGGCTTAATCCCCAGTGGGAGACGTGCAGGAAGCAGCCAATCAATGATTCTCTTCATCATTGATGTTTCTATCTCTCTCTCTCCCTTTCTCTCTGAAATCAATAAAAATATGTATTTTTTAAAAATCCACTCATTGGCTCAGGGGAGGCCCATGAAAACCAAGGTCAGGTCCTTGTTTGTTCCCATTTAACTCCAGATATACAGAGGATCTGCCCAGGCTCCCACTGCTAGAGAGAGGGGGAGCTGGGCCAAAAGTCAGGGCTTGCAGCCTTAAACCCAGGCCACTTTCCCTTCACAGAGAGCCGTGGTCTGGGCCAAAGCCCTGCTCTGCCTGCTCACTACAACCAGAGCTGCAGCTGGAATTTGTTTCTGAGTCTTCAGGCCCAAGAAAGTTGACTTTTTCCACCCCCTGTTGCTTGAGGTTGCCTCCAACCAAAAGGGTAAGATGCAGAATATTCCTGCGAGTTCCCTTTAATGGTCTGTGAACTCTTCTTCTGAACCCCACTATTTGATTTTTTAAAATTATACTCTACTTATTTCCAGAGAAGACATGAAGTAACTTAAAATAAAATATTTTATATAATGTCACTCTTAACAAAATATAATGATAACCAATAAAAAAGAAGAGAAAGACACAAATATGTCAAACATAGAGGTTGGCAAAATCACTATGATTAAGGATTAGATTTAAATCTGAGCTCCCCAACAGCCAAGGTGAAAAGGGAGTCTCTTCATCCTCCCCCAGAACCTTGAAGAAAGTTTGTAGCTGATTGAAAAAAAAAAGGGTGTCCCAGTCCCCTGGGCAGCCTGAGTTCACATCTTGCTTTGGCCAAGCGGCCGTACAGGGCATCATGGCCTTGTTCCCTGTCTCTCTCCTGGAGGTCAGTCCAGGGGCATATGCATGAGAGCACCTGCCTTGCTCATCTCTAGAGAGATCACCTGCCCTCAGTGATCATCTGTGGGCAGGATCCCCCAGCCCACCCACCGGAAGTGTGCCCCCAGTTCATGAAGTCATGGCTGATCTTGGCACCTGTCCTGTTTCTTAATAATCAAGCCTCCCAAAGGAGAAAGCCCCAAGTGGCCAACTGGAGTAATTCAAAATGACTTAAGTGATTTGCCTAATTGAAGAGTGAGAAAAAGAAACCAGACACTCCCCAGGGCAGTTTGGGTACCTGTTTGGGTCACGGGTGCTATGGAGATGTTCCCAGGACTGTGGCTCTGGTTCAGTGGCCTCACCCTTAGTCCATGGTGGGAGGGGCAGCCTGGGTCCCGGATCCTCTCTGTCTCTGGAGAATCAGGCAGCCAGGGATCATGGCAAGGCCATGAGCACTGGAGGATCAGGCCTGGTTGCTGTGACTTAGCCTTACAGAGCCAGGTCCTGGCAGACGTCAACCCAGGAGGCTTCTTGGTGCGAGTAGGCTGGGTCAGGCAAGAACGGGATGATGTAGAAAGGTGGGGGCCTGCTTAGGCTGAGGGGCAGAAAGGAGCTCTGTGGAGAGGCTAGACCAAGCCCTATAGGCCCAGAGCTCCCAAGAAACCACAAGAAATGAGGGTGGCAAGGGAGGCCACTTTAGACACCCTTCTCTGGTCCCTCTCCAGTGAGAAGCCCCTGGCTTAGGGGGTGGTGGGAAGAGCTCAGCGTCACTGACTCTCTGCCCAAACATTATGGAGCCTCTATCATGACGATGGTACAATATCTGTGACCTCTGACGTCTGCTGAGCACTTACGAGCTCCAGGGACCACGCCCACTGCTTCCTGAAGCTCATCCCATTTAATCCTCCCAACTCGATGAGGTAAGTAGTGTCACTGGCCCCATTTTGCAGCAGAGAAAAGCTGAACTCAGAGAGGTTAAGAGGACTGAGAGCTAATAAATGATGAAACCAAGTTGGTACAACTCTAGCACCTAGTCTGCTCTTATCCCTTTGTTGGGGACCCCCCCTTGGGTGATTGAGATACAACTCCTACTCCCAGGGATCCTCCAATCTGATGGAAGAGACATGGTTCTGTCCTTAAGAAATCTGGTCCAGCCCTGGCAGGTGTGGCTCAGTGGTTGGAGTGTCCTCCCATACACTAAAAGGCGGTGGGTTTGATTTCCTGTCAGGGCATATACCCAGGCTGCTGGTTCGATCCCCAGTAGTGGCATGTGTGGGAGGAGACTGAACAATATTCCTCTCGCATATTGATGTTTCAATAAATAAATAATTAATTTAATTTTAATTGTTTAAAATATATTTTACTGATTTCAGAGAGGAAGGGAGAAGGAGAGAGATAGATAGAAACATCAACGATGAGGGAGAATCATTGATCAGCTGCCTCCTGCACTCCCCTTACTGGGGATCGAGCCCGCAACCAGGGCATGTGCCCTTGACCAGAATCGAACCTGGTACCACTCAGTCCTCAGGCTGACGCTCTATCCACTAAGCCAAACCAACTAGGGCTAAGTAAATAATTTTTAAAAAGAGAAACCCGTTCTATTTGGGGAGCTCTGCCGCTGCTGCTAGGGAGCCCTGAGCTAATGGGGAAGGGTTGGTCGCTTCGGTCTGGGAGCTGCAGTCAGAAGGGGCAGGAGGAAGTATGTTCCTCTGGTCGCATCACTGAGAAGTTGCCTGAAGGGACACAGTCAGCACCTTCTCCTCCGAGGCCAAGGCCCCTTGCCTTTCGAGCAGTCCCAGCAAGGGGGGCCAGGCAGGTACTCCCCACCTTCAGGGAGCCAGGCTGCCAGGCAGATGGAGCATGCCAGCCCACACCCAAAGGATCAGAAGGGAGGGACAAGTGGTACAGAGACAGGGCCTTCACCCCAGAAATCCCCTGAGTGTCTCCCGTGACTTGGAGGTCGGTCAGTCAGTGTATTGGCCAGCGCTCAGCCAGGGACGAGAACTGGAGCCCTATCTGAGCCCAGGAGTTTGTCTGTGGCCAGGATCACAAGTCAGTCAAAGGTCAGGGTCACACATCAGTCACAGGCCAACTTGAGGTTTCATCTAGAGGTCAGGGCCAATGGTGCATCTAAGGCTGGGCTGCAGAAGGGAGGGGTTAGGGGTTTCCTGTGCACTGGGGTTCTGACCAGGAGGCCACAGTGAGTCACCGGGGTGACCCCTGGCATCCTATAGCCTGTGGGTCAGCCGCTAAGGAGCAGATACAAGGTGGGGCTGAGAGGGCCCCAAGGGTAGGCAGGGGCTACACCCAGACTATAGACTCCTCACCCCTCATTCCTTCTGGCTGAGGTCATTCCATGGGCCCAGCCACCTCAGGCCTGGGAGGGAAAGCAGAGATTCTGAGGCGGCTCCCCCAGAGTATCTGTGAGTCATGATCCCTAGGACTACAGCTATTGGACCCAGCAAAGGATGGGGGTACCCCAGCAGCACGCAGCCAGCCCTGGAACCTCATGCGTCAGCAAGGAAGAGTCAGCCAGTGGCTAAATCATATTGTGCAGGCACAGTTCTAAAGCCTGATTTACACTGTTTCTTTTAATCCAAGGATGTGTTATTGTCTCATTGACAGATGAGGAAACGGAGGCACGGAGTGGTTAAATATGTGACTCTCACACTTACGTCCAGGCTCTGGTTTTAAACCTGGGGTCTGCCTTGCTCTTCAGTATTCTATGATTTAAGAGCAAGATAGCTCATGCAAGGGGCGGCCTTGCCAAAGCTCTCCCTCTCCCACCACCCCGCTTCCTCCCCGAGGGAGCTGAGGGCCAGCATCTAAATCTCTAGGCCTGGAAGTCCAGAGGGAGCCAGGCAAGTCTTTGCAGCAGGGAGAATTCCAGGTAGAATTTGCATCGTTTCCACTTTTCTTGGTGCCTGGCACCTCACCATCTCCGTTTGTTTCTTTTCTGTTGAACACGGGGCCTAGCGGCAGGCGGCTTACCCTGGAGGGGTCACCCAAGCTGGTGTTCGGCCTCCTGGGAACGGAGGCTAAGGAACAGCACACTTTGGTGCAGGTGCAGTAACGGCGTTGCTCTTTGATGTGCGTGGCCTTAGTGACTCTGGAGTTAAATTACAGGACTACGAGGACACGGGCTCTTGAAGACATGAACAGGGATTAAAAAGGTGACTGCGGGGCCCCAGGCGCACAGCCGTGCCCTCTGCATCACATTTGTTCAGCAATTGCCCCCTGTCCCGGCACTTCCACAGATCCCTGCCTTAGTCTCTCAAGGAGGAAGGTGGCAGAGCTGAGATTATCAACCTGTTTCACAGATGAGCAACTTGCGCCCATAGGATCAGTGCAGCGGGTGCGTTGGTGGCTTCCCAGCTGACATTCCACCCCACCCCGTTGAGGGGAACTCCTAATTTTGTCCCAAAGTTCATCATCCCTGATCATCAAGGAGAATGGCCCCTCCTGGCCCCAGGATGAACTTCATTAGCCTAAGGCTTAGGCCCTAAGCCAAGGGCTCACAACCCTCTCAAACCCAATACCCTACCTGACAGCAAACATCTCGAGCCACCCTCTTTACTCATCCTGAAGTGAAATCCATAGGTGCTAAAGTTTCAAAGAAAAAAAAAATCAACAGAATTCTATAAGTAACATAAAAGAGGAATACAGGAAAAACGATTGCTAATAAGATTCTGTGTTTCGAGATGTGCTTGATTAAGCAAGACCACCCACCCAGAGGGGCCACTGCCGCAGCGTCACGGACCCGAGGCACCGTGGCCGCTCGCCCAGCGGAGCACTGCCCAGGCCGTGGGACCTTCAGAAGTGGTGGGCGGCTCTAAACCACAGAGAATGTTCCCTCATTTACCAGGTGAGTCTTGGGCAAGAGCACTTCTATAAAACGGAGTTAGGTCCTAGGCTTAGATAATAAAAAGCAGGTTTTTCACCTCCATGAATGGCTGGTATGACATTCACAGGAAGGTCATGACCGTCTCCAGCATTGCAGGACAGCCAGCCCACACCTTCAGAAGCCACAGCACTCCCATTACCGGGAAAGTCACAGTGTACCTAGGTTTTCTTTCTCTCTCTCTCATTCTCTCTCTCTCTCTCTTTTAATATATAGACATATATATTATTTCAGAGAGGAAGGAAGAGGGAGAGGGAGAGAGAGATAGAAACATCAATGATAAGAGAGAATCACTGATTGGCTGCCTCCTGCACACCTCACACTGGGATCGAGCCTACAACCCAGGCATGTGCCCTGACCGGGAATCAAACCTTGACCTCCTGGTTCATAAGTCAACGCTCAACCACAGAGCCATGCCAGCTGGGTTCGTGGTTTCCTTTTGAGAGTCAGTGGTGAAAGCTGATGACAGGGTTTCAGTCCCCTGGCCTGATGGTGTCACCCAATCTGTGGAACCTGGGGACATAAGGGAAAGTTTTCTCACTATTCTCAGGAGAGGGAAGCTCCCCGTGTTCACCAGCTGAAGCTTACCGTTCACCATCCTGAGGGAGACAGTGCCAACTGCTGGGTTAGGGAGAGGAAGGATGGGCGGTCCCCAGGTCTTTGAGGGCTGAGGGCACTGCTGGCCTCCTAGATCAGGCAGCCCTGGATCTCTGTACACAGAGACTCCCTGCTAGGTGAGAAGATAAGCTTCTTGTTGAAGCTGCTTTGAGGTGGGCCTTGAGTTCCTTGTCGCTGAGGGTGTTCAGACATAAGAAGTGACCTTTCCGGACCTTACAGCCAGTTTAGAAATCAGAGCCCAGGTCTCTTGACCCTCCACAGGGTCCTCTCTCCACCTTGTCCAGAGGGACAGAAGCGACCAGGACTAGGTCACGGCTCAGAGGGAGCTTCCTGGAAAGCAGCTCTCCTGGGCCCTCCCAGTGGGTGTACACCCTTAAGGGCAGATCTCCTGTGGATGTGAAGGAGACAGGTCCAAGAGCTTCTCGGGGCTGACCTCTCCCCAGCTTCTCCTCTGACTCAAGAAACACTGGGATTGTAGCTGCATTCCTCACTGGTGTCATTCTTTATGCTCTCAAGTGCTCTACAGGCACCAATTAGTAGCCAAGCGCCCCACCCGAGGGTGCCTGCTGAGGATCCAGGGATCCTGGGTGTGACACATTGGCATGACCAAACACCATCTGCAGTGGGCAGCGCAGGTGTCCCTGGGGAAGTCCCCGAGCACAGCCCCCAAGAGCACCCCGAGAGGCAGCATGTAGGGAGACAGTCAAGTACACTGAGAAGACCCTCATGTAGGGAGACACAACAGGACACAGTTTCCAGGCCATGCAGGGCCTGCAGACCTCGGCACATGAGAAGCCACTGAGGGCTTTAAGCACAGGGTGGCACAGCCATCACAAGTCCCTTCCCTGACCCACTTGGGCATATGCCCAATGGTCCCCATCCCTGCGGCCTCCCACTGCAGACAGAAGCTGTGGCCTGGAGTTTGGTTCTCAGTGGGGGCAGGATCTGCACAGCTGCCTTCATGGGTACAAACCACATCCCTGGTTTAAGCCGCTCATGCTTAGGTGTCAAAGGAGGAAGCAGGATGCTCACAGTAGCGTTGTTTGAGGCCCATCATCCCCATACTCAAGTAGCTGCCGTGTCTCCCTACTGACCAGCAAGTCAAGTCCAGGTCCACTGTCTGGCCTCAAGCAGCCTCTCAACCTTTACCCATTTGCTCACAAACACCAACACCGAGGTCCTAGCAGGCTAGCCTCTGGGGACCCTGGCTCCATGCACACTCTCATCTTCATACCATTGCTTACATTTTCCCGGCCTGGAATGGCTGCCCTGCTTCCCGTGTGCACTCAACCCCCAGCAGCTGGCTCTCCTCTCACAAACCCTATAGGGTTTGCACAGCTCCCTCAGCCCATGATGGCTGCACGTTCTTTCCGTTAAACTAGAGACTGCAACTATTGCCTTGAATGGTTATTATATCTTATATTGTTATTCCTCCTCTCAGGGTTTGTACTCTTGCCCCCTTACCACCACCCCCTCCACTCTGTTGTAGACTCTTGGAGAATGGAGGCCTGTCTTCCTGACACAGTCCAGCCCCCAGCACAGGGCTGGCACCTGCTTGGTAGGAGCTCAGACCACCATCTGTGGCTTTGACTTGCCTCAGCTCCAAGAGGTGACTTGGTGATGAAGGTTCCTATGCAGGATAATTGGATGGGGGGAGGTTGAGGGAAAGATCTCTCCATCTAATTATTAGCATTAACAGGTATTTGTCATATGTCTGTTGCTGATTAATTGGGAACAAGACGTGCCCCTCTAATCTGTGATGATAGAGCAAGAAGTCTGCAAGCATGAGATGCAGACAGAAAAAGGGGGAAACAGCAAGACATGGGATGGAGACCAAGCAGGGATGCAGGCAGAGATGTGGTGCAGGAGAAAGATGGTGACAGGGACAGACAGAAACCGGGTCAAGGAAAGGGGAGCAGGGAGCAGAAGGCAGGAAGAGGCCAGGGCCTGGGTGGGGTGGGGACACACAAAAGAGACAGAGAGGGAAAAGGAGGCCAACCAAAGCCCGGAGAGGGTGAAGGACAGCAGGAGAGCGGGCCCCTCCCTCCTCACGGCCTCAGTGCCAGGCTGGGTTCTGGCATCCTCAGAGCCTCTCCTGAAACTCCTGCATGTTGGAGCATGAAGGCCAGGAGGAAGGCAGCCAAGCTGGAAGGCAGCCGAGGACCAGATGCTGGGGTGATGCACCCAGGCGGGTGGCAGTGGGACGAGGAGACATTGCCCTGTCTCATGGCCCCCACCATCACGCACCCCACCCCGACCCAGCCAAGGGACAGCTGCCACACCCAGCTGGAGGCCACTAGTAAGCCAGGTTAGATGGGTGTCCTTCTCCAAGGCTTGACTCAGGTGTCTGCTGGGGACAAGGAAAGGGAGTGGCTCAACTGAGACCATGGTTGTTGGGGGGAGGGGGTGCGGGGGTGTCAGGAATGAAAAGGAAAGCTGGGATTAAAGTTTCAGTAACCTGCCTCGAAAGCACCCAGGCTTTGTGCAGGCCGGGATTCCAGGGCACTGAGTAAGACAGCCATCCTAGCAAGGATGAGGGAGCAGAGGCACCGGCTGTTGGTAGGGGTGGGGTGGACAGGGGGACAGAGAGTCCAACTGCCCCTGTAGGGAGCCAGAACCACCCCCCACCCCCCCACACACACCTTCTCCTACCACCATAGGGCCCCTTTCTATAGCCCAGGTTAGGCAACTGCCTGAGAGTTCGGACCCCAGCTGGTGAAAATGGGGGGAGGTGGTAGGTTGAAATTTAAGGAAGATTTGGTCTGGGGAGGTCTAGGAAAGATACTCACATGTGTGGTGTGGGGAGAGAGAGAGAGAGAGAGAGAGAGAGAGAGAGAGAGAGAGAGAGAGAGAGAGAGACTCCCAAGGGAGAAGGGACTAAGAGGCAGAAGCCGAAGAATTTTGAGAAGAACAGCTGGACAATATTTGCCATTCATCCATGCACTTAAGCAACATTTATTGACACAGAAAACAATAACAACAAGATCCAATCAGAAATAAGCAACTGCAGACAAACCCTAACCCAGATCACAGACTGATCCCTGATCTGGCCTCAGACTGAACTTTCACCCTGGCCCAGCCTCTCCACTAAACCTGTCTTCAGATTTACTCTAATCCCAGCTCCTCCTGCTTCACTGAGCTTAATCTTGGCTACTGGCCACCTCAACACTTTGTTTTGATCTCAAAGGTACAAGAAAAGAGCATATAGCCCAGCCGATGTGGCTCAGTGTTTAAGCATCGACCTCTGAAACAGGAGGTCACGGTCCGATTCCTGGTCAGGGCACTTTTGTCTACTGCGGCCTCGAACCCCAGTGGGGGGCATGCAAGAGGCAGTTGATCAATGATTCTCTCTCATCATTGATGTTTCCATCTCTCTCTCTCCCTCTCCCTTCCTCTCTGAAGTAAATACTTTTTTTAAAGAGCATATAGATGTTTCTGGAGAAACACCACAAAGCACACAGCTATAGGGCTTGGTGGGAATGACACAAGGCTGCATGTTGGAAATGACTGCTCCAGCCATTCAAAGCCCTCATTGTCCAGCAGAGCCCTAACGCCCTCTTAGATCCTCTCCTCTCCTCCATCCCCTCTCCCAACCTGCCAGGCAAGTGTGCCCACTCTCCCCTGACCCTGGGCTCCTGCCCCACTTGGGGCCTTTTAAAACCCCTGCCCTCTGAGTCCCATCTTACTAGTCAAGCACAGTCTTCATCTTCCCCAACTAACCCCAGACAGCAGGCCCTCCCCCTCCTCTGAACTCCTACATCAATAAGATTTAATAATCCATCTGGCCACTAATCACAAACATTCCTTCTTTTGTCTTCTTAGACTGCTCTCCTTGGCAGAATGACTGCATGAAGGATATACAGTCAAATTATTTCCCCAAGTAGATGGCAATTTCCCCACTACCATAAGCAAGGCTGAGATGAACATCCTTAAACACATCTCTATGCACTTGTATACTTTAAAAACATCTCAAAGCCTTGACTGGCTAGTTCAGTTGGTTAGAGCATCGTCCTGATATGCCAATGTTGTGGGTTTGATTCTTAGTCAGGACACAAGAAATAACCAATGAATTCATAAATAAGTGGGACAACAAAGCTCTCTCTCTCTCTCCAATCAATCAATCAATGCATTTTTAAAAATATCTCTTCATCCAGAGAGATACCCTGAGCATAATTTTAAAAGTAAAAAAAAAAAAAAAAATATTCGTGTGCATAGCAAAGAAAACCATCAACAAAATTTTAAAACCCACTGAATGGAAGAACATATTCATCTATGTTTTCTGCTGAGAAATTTCTCCTGGTCAGATGCAAAATGCTGTATGTTTTATTGGTAAGATAGGCATAACATAAAATTCACCATTTAATCATTCTTAATCAATCATTGTATAGTTCAGTAGCATTAACTGCATTCACATTGTTGTGCAACCATCACCACCACCCAACTGCAGAACTTTTTCATTTTCCAAATCTGAAACTCTGAACCCACTAAACAATACCTCATTCTTCCCTTACTCAAGTCCCTGGCCACCACTATTCTCTTTCTATCTCTATACTCCGCTCAGTACCTCAGATAAATGGAATTATAAACTAAATCATCCTGTTGTGATTGTCTGATTTTACTTAGTATAATGTCTTCAAGGTCCATCCATGTTGTAGTAAGTATCAGAATTTCCTTCCTTTTAAAAGCAGAATAATGTTCCATTATATGTACCATATACTAGAGGTCCGATGCACGAAATTTGTGCAAGAGTAGGCCTTCCTTCCCCCAGCTGCTGGCACCCAGGACCGGGGCTTCTCTCCAGCCCAGCTTCATCTGGAATGATGTCCGGTCTCATTAGCATATTACCCTTTTATTATTATAGATGCCACACTATGTTTATCCATTCATTGGTTGATGGCTATTGTGGAACACTTTTGTCTACTGTGTATAATGATGCTATAATCATGGATATGCAAATATCTCTTCCAGATTCTGCTTTCAATTCTCCTGGATATACACCCAGAAGTGGGATTGCTACATCTATGCTAACTGTGTATATAACTTTTTATATATACAAGCCTGGGTGCTTTCAAGGCAGCAGGTGTGGAGGAACCACCATAATGTTTTCCATAGCAGCTGTATAATTTTACATTCTCACCAGCAATGCCCGAAAGTTCCCATTCTACACACCATCACCAATATCTGTTATTTTCTGGGTGTGTTTTGTTTTATTGTAGTCATCCTAATGGTTGTGAAGCAGTGTCTCACTGGGGTTTTGATTTATGTTTCCCTGATGATTAGTTATGTTGAGCATCTTTTCATGTGCTTATTGACCATCTTTATATCTTCGATGGAGAAATGTCTATCAACACCTTTACTTGTTTTTTGGTTGACTTCTTTTTGAAGTGTAGGAGTTCTTTATATGCTCTGAATACCAATCCCTTATCAGAGGTATGATTTGCAAATATTTCCTCCCATCTGTGGGTTGCCTTTTCACTTATTGATTGTGTCCTTTGGTACATAAAAGGTCTTAATTTTTACAAAGTAGAATTTATCTATTTTTTCTTCAGTTGCACGTACTTTTTGTGTCATACTCAAGAAATCATTGTCAAATCTAATGTTATGTAGGTTTTACTCTACATGTTCGTCTCAGAGTTTTACAGTTGTATTTGTTATGTTAAGGTCTTGATCCTTTTGAATTAGTTTGTGTATGTTGTGTAAGATAAGGGTCCAACTTTACTCTTTTGCAGGTGGATATCCAGTTTTTCCATTACCATTAGTTGAAAACACTGTTTTTCACCATTGATTGGTCTTGGCTCCCTTGTCAAAACCATTTGATCATATGTGACCACAGAGGCAGAGGTTGGCATGATATGGCCACAAGTCAAAGGAATGCCAACAAACCTCTCCAGGGAATAAACTTCCAGGAACCTGCTGGGAGAGAGGCAGGTACTCGCTGACGCAGAGTTGAAGAGGGGACCTAGGGATCTAATTGCCTCTTCAGCTTTTAAACAATCCTCGCTAATGTTAGCCACACACATTCCTTCCCGACTGGGGCCTTCAATTCTTGGTCTTTTTAAGATTCTGTGGTATAAACCAGGTGAGTTCTCAGCTGTCTCAGGTTCACCGAGTAAATTATGACTCATCCATCGATTTTCCAGTTTACAAAATTGTGTTCCCCTTTTCTTCTCTTCCACTCTCCACATCCTGTGGGTTCAAGCCTTTTTCAACAACCCCTTCGCTGTAGCTTTAGTGGGGTTTTAAAAGAGAGCAAAATGAAACGCATGTGTTCAATTTGCCATTCTCTGCTCATCCATTCATTTTCAACTTCCAAAGCTATGTTGACAACTCTATTCCTTGTCATCTCCTTGTTATTTTACGCTTCTCTTTTAACTCTGTGTCAGTCTGGTGGGGTTCAGCAGGGAACAGAGATAAATCTATTTCTTCAACCCATCATGGTTTACTTGAAGCTCTCCAATCATTTGCTTAGGATAAATTCCTTCCTAGAGATGGAATTACTGTGTCTACGGCTTGCCTCATAAGGCTTTTGGTAGAGATGGAAAAATTGCCCCCTAGGAAAGTTGTACTGATTTATACTCAAGGCCGAAACCGGTTTGGCTCAGTGAATAGAGCGTCGGCCTGGGGACTGAAAGGTCCCAGGTTCGATTCCGGTCAAGGGCATGTACCTGGGTTGCGGGCACATCCCCAGTAGGAAATGTGCAGGAGGCAGCTGATCGGTGTTTCTCTCTCATCGATGTTTCTAACTCTCTATCCCTCTCCCTTCCTCTCTGTGAAAAATCAATAAAATATATATTTAAAAAAAAATTATACTCAAACCGGTGGTGTATGAAAGGGCCAGTTTCTCTGTACTCAGACAAGGATTGTGCAGGATTTCTTCTGTGGTCTGCCAATCTGTTCAGGAGAAAAAGATATCTCATTTTGAGATTGTTTTCATTATTGAATATCAATATTTTTCAGGTGTTGATCGGCTTTTACTTTTGTGAATTGTCTGCCTGAGTAATCTGCCAATTTTTACAATTTGGCTATTCATTTTCTTACTGATTTTTAAGAGCTCTTTATATAGAGAATATTACTGTATTTTATTTGCAAAATAAAATGCATAAGTGCCCTTATTTTAAAAAAAGACGCAGAGAAAGATTAACATAAAGAGGAGGAAGGTTATTTTTGTTCATTTTTATTGCAAAAAGATCTCACTTTGACAGTTTTATCTTTTCACTTTTTCATAACAGCTTTTTACAGCGTGAATTTATACTTTTTATGTAGTCAAATCTATCAGTATTATTTCATTATTTTTGCTTAGAAGAGTAGAAAGGTTTCCCTTTCCTGAGAGAGTAAAAATAATATTCAATATTCTCTGTTAATTTTTTCATTTAAATATGTAATCAATATGATATTTATTTTTATATAAATAATAAAGAAGGGAATCAAACCATATTTTCTCTAAAAAAGAAGCTAATTATGCAGATACCATTTATCAAATAGCCTATCTTTTTCTTACTATTATGAAATCTTTACCTTACAAATACTTGTCTACATTTGGACTTTTCATTTACTTCTAAACTGTCTATTCTAATACTGATATAATACCCTTTTATTTATTATAGTTTTAAAATATATTTTGTTATCTGGTAGGAAAAGTATTTTCTTTTTCATAATTTTATTGACTGTTCTTTTATATTGAATCTTTGCATAAACTTTATAACATGCTTCATATTGAGTCTTTGCACAAATTTTAAGTCATTGAGTTTTGATGAGAATCACATCAAATTAATAGATTAATTTGATAATTGATCTATCTACAATACATTTCTTCCCATATAGAAATTAAATGTGATATCTATATCTATAATTATTGCTAGTTGATTACTTTGATCACATGGCTAATATTTGGCCATTTTGACATACAAAACCTGGAATTTTGTATGTGTTAACATAATAGTACACAGGACATTGTTTTCTAGCTTTTCCATTTTCCAATTGAACTCAGGCGCAGAGAATTGGACTAATCCTAACCATTGATTCATGACTCACTCTCATTGACTTACGCATGACCTATTTTTATGCATCCGTTTATTTATGTAGTTAGGTAGGTCATGTGGTAGCTTGTCTCCAAGATGGTTGCCATTGGTTTCTTTCTCATATTACATGCCTTTCCCTCTTTGAGAGGTGTAGTCTATTCCTCCCTTCCCTTGTCATCAGAGGCTAAGAAGCCTTGCAGCTGCCACCTAGTCCTCTCAATGCAGTTGCTCTAGAGCCCTGAGCCACTGTGGAAGAAGTCCAGCTACGCTGACGCTGCCATGCTGTGCGAAAGCCTCGTTCCACTGAGATAGAGAAATGCCTGGCCAACCTTCACTGTTCTAGTCTCCCCTTCCCAACTCCGCTATGGGATTCATCCCAACCGACCCAGCCATTGTGGAACAAAGACAAGTCCCTCTGTGCCCCGTCTAAATTCTGACCCAGTGAATCATGAAGTATGATAACAACAAATGTTAAGTCATTAACCCCAGGAAGACTTGTTATGAGGCAGTAAGTAATTGAAATGGATAGTTAGTCAGATAGATCATTAGAATTGCATAAACATATAGGAACCCATACCCAAACAAAAGTTTGGACCTTGACAATAATGTGCATCTAACCACATGATCTCCCTCTACCCAACTCAAGTTAATTATCATTCATAAACCTGTATTCATTTTTGTTACTTTTCTTTTTATTGACTATATATTTCTTAATATTGTATATGTTTTTATTTTATTTAACTTTTTTAAAAAAACAGTATTAGGCAACATGTAGTCTTCTGGTACTTATATTTTTCATTTAATATTATATCACTAAGATTCATCCATATAGCTGTGTATTATGTTAGTTCATTTGTTTTGCCTGCTATGTAATATTTCATCATGTAAATATATCACAGTTTATCCACTCACTCTTCCACTGATGGGCACTTAGGTTGCCAGATTATTGCTAATGTGAGCAATATTGCTCTGAACATTCTTGTAGGTGCTTCCTGTTGTACATGTGCAAATGTCTTGGGTATATATATATAGAAGTAGAATTCCAGAGGTATAATTGCTGGCTCAAAAGGTATGATAAACTTTAGGCGGTAATCCCAAATTGTTTTCCACAGTGTTCATATCAATTTAAGCTCCCAGCAGTAATGTATAAGAAAGTGATCCTTGGAAACCATATTGTCAGACTTTTTTGCCAATTGGTTGACATCTCATTATAGTCCTAATTAGGATTTTCTTATCACTAATGACGTTGAGCTTCTCTTCATCTATATGTGGGTGGTACCTTCCTCTTCGGGGAAACGTCTCTTCACATCTGTGGATAATTTTCTACTGGGTTATTATATATTTTCTTATTCATCTGTAGAAGTTCTTTATGTAATCTTGATGCAAATCCACCATCATCTGTAGATATTACAAATATTTTCTGTTTCTACTTTGACTTTTTACTTTCTTTTAAAAGTCTTTTAGAGAACTAAATTTTTAAATTTTGCCATATTGTCTTTATTTCTCTCTCCCTCTTTTTAAGACTTTAACAGTAGTTTTTGGTTCACAGAAAAATTCAGGGGAAGGTACAGAG